AAATATCTTTACAGACTTTCAAGAGACTTTTTAAATCATTTGTATAATAAACTCAATTAAAACTTCAGTTATCGTCTCTGATAGCAGACGTTACTAACGACTGATATCTCTGTTACAAAACTTAGAGGATTCATATAGTTGGACGACAGTTGAAATAACTGAAGGATCGCAGATAAGTTTCAATGTGAATACCTATATTATAGAAATTGGAGAATGATATCATCTGAATTTCTACACTGCAGCTGGTTTTTGTAGTAAGTTTCTAACCAGAGAAATAACATAATTTATAATTTCGATGTAAATAAATAAGAGACATGTAAACGCAGACAAGTCCTGGTACACTGATTACAATCTAAGATATTTAGATATTATTTAAATTAAATTAAATTAAATAAACATTTGTGAAAATTTAATTTAAAGAAGGTACTAAACAAAAAGTAGAAAAAAAAGCAAAAGTGAGTTTTAAAGTAACAGTACAATGTCATTGTCGTAGAGTGAGCGAGCGGGTTGCGGGACGAAAGACATTCACAATCATTTCAGAATCACTTAATCTAACAGCTTAGCTCTTATATATTGTAAAATAAAGTACTTTTAATCTAAATTAATTCATTTATTAACGCTACGTACAGCACATACTTAGGTAGCACATTTTTACATTTTAAATAGCATAAAACAATAAAAGTTTAAACTATATTTATATTATGCTAAAAATCACTCCATCACTTAGCATCAGGGACCCTTAATGTCCATAGACATTATCGTACAGTACCAGAGGCATTCAATAAAAAAAGGTTTTTGAAAATCCCACGGGCACTAGAGGGAAAAGGTTCCGCAACTTCCGTAGCGTTTCTTTTTCGCAAGTAATAAAATATCCAAAGAAATGTTCATGTGTATAGACGTCGATTACCAGTTTCCATCAGCCGGCCCATTAGCTTGTTTGCCTAACCGAGTAGTATAAAATGTTTCGTGGACTGCATACGCAGTTCATCAATAATATTACTACATATATTATAAGTATGTACTACTGTACATACTTATAATATTGTAAAACTGATTGGATATTTAAATGAATGTAAGTTTATTGCCTTAAAGTGGATATCCGTTTATTCATAACATATTTGAATACGTCAATGTATTTGGTATTCGTCAGATATTCTTTTCTTTTTTTATACAACTTTGAATGGCAAAGAAGCTGACGGCCCACCTGTTGGAAAGTGGTAACCGTCGCCTATAGACATGAGCAGTACCGTGGACATAACAGAGTAAGTATACTGTTTCGCCCATGATATATATTTACGTATTACGATAAAAATTAGGTAGATTTTAACTTCCTTTTTCTACAGCCAGATAATAAAGTTTTCTTTAGTGTTTAAAATATGATAATTCAGTGAGAATTACCTATAATTATCAACGGAGCTACCGCTTCACCATTTAATAACAATTTGAAGATTAAATGGAGAATTCATGTAGAAACGTTGACGCTTTTGCCTATCTCTTTGGTTACACGACAGTAGGCGTCTAATGGCTACCTTCGGATAGCCTAAATAAACAGGAACTTTGCCCAACAAAGTGGAGTTTAGGGTAAGTGAATCGCATTACCATATCTTCAAGTACTTACGAATTAAACTTTGAATAAAATTAAATAAATACGCTCAGGACTGTATTTCTAGATGGAGTAGGTACCTAGCTTTTTTATGGGATGATAATGGAATGGTAACTCTGTCTGCGATATCAATATACGCTGGCGGGATACTAGTAAGTTGCTAGTAATATTCCCTGTCAGGTCGACCTCTACGTGGTCCCTCCTGGAAACCATCGTGCTGAATTACAGGTGTACTAATACAATGGGCTAACTGACCTGCCTTTTTATTCTCACGTATCATCCCTCACTGGTGCCCCGCCAGTGTATACCGTTAAAGCAGACGGGGTTATCATTCCATTATCATCCATTAAAAAAATCCCAAGTTTTTTTGCTAAATGCTACCTACACGTATGCCAAATTATGATAGATTAGGTAAGTTATTAAAAAGCTAGATGTAAGAAATATATCTCAATAGAATTCTTATTTAATTTAATTTAATTAGCGGATGTTGCCAATATTAATAGATGGTTTCTGGGAAAAAAGACAAAAATGCTTACTTGCATGAACAGAAAATTTATTAAAAAAACGAACCAAAAATATAATTATAAACATTAATTCAATTTCAAGAAATAAAATAATATTTTAATGACTGTTTTTTTTTTTGATGATAACTATGCATTCGATTTTTTAATAATATAACGTGATTGACATTTTAGGTCAGATTTATGAAAAATATTGTGGCAGTAAACGTGTTAATAGGTAGTCTGCTTCGATCACGTAGTTTAACATTCAATATTTAAGATATCCAAGTTTTGTTCATATTATCACAGAAATACTCAATAAATATGAGTAACAAATGAAAACGTACAATCTGTTCATCCATCTTTTTATTTGGACAATAGCGGGTTGTGTTATGGTCCGGTCAATTATTCATATTCTTTTTTTTTTTATTAAAGGTATACACAACAGGTTACAATCAATAACATTACAGACATTATATAAAGATAATAGTTTGAACTAGATTGACCCAGACAGGTGTACACACAGCATGGTTAAAGCAGTCGGCGAACAGTGTTAAATTATAAAGTTATATAAAGAAAGCATATGAATTTGGTAAAAAACAGTGAAGTACATGCAAATAATAAAAATACATAAAGATATGGACATGTCAAAGAGATTTGATGGCTGATTGTAAAATGCTTTTGAAGGTGTTTAGACGTGAGTTGAAGATATCAATTTGAGGACATTTAGCTGAAAATTCATTAAAAGTACGACACATACGGATAAGCGGGTTATAATACGATGTATTGTTCTTATAAACGCAGAGTGCAAATGTTTTAGAACCTCGTGTTATAGTTTTTATATTGAAGGTCAAATTCATTATTCATTATGTTCTATTGGCATACACTATAAATTGCTGCAAATAACCATCAGACGGACTGTATGCTTGTTTGCCACCTTCGTAGTATAAAAAACAACTGCAATACATATAAATTAACAATTATATACTGAATATATATTTTATATACAATTTTTTTTTTGATGGTTGAAAATGGTATGGTAGCCCCGCCTGCGCTAACGGGATACGCTGGCGGAGCACCAGTGAAGGGTGATAGATGAGAATGAAAAGAGGCCAGTTAGCCCATCGTGATGAATTCATCAGGAATTAACAATGGTAGTTTCCAGGGAGAACCGCGAGGAGGTCGACCTGGTTGGGTATATTGCTAGCAATAGGATTCTCAGTCTCCATTACTAACAATCCCTTTCCCCGCACTAAATTTATTTAGGTATATTATTATTTTTAACTAGCAATCTGGCCCAACTACGCACGGATAGATACGAGTAGAATTCACGAAAATAATATATAAAACTATGTTTCAAAAATAATAAAGCCCTTTAATTCCGAATTCACTACAATTTTGGCAAAACATATTTAACAGTTCTATTCACTATATGTCTCGTAAAAGGCGTGCCTCCTGGCATAAGCCTCCTCCAGCTCTCTCCACTGTGTTCTATCTTCTACTACTCTGCTCTAGTAAGGCCCCAAGGTTTAGCGGATGTTGTCTAGCCATCTTGTTTTCGGGCGCCCCTTTCTTCTAGTGTCTTCTCTTAGGTAACTAATTTGCTCCATTTATTAGACCAATTTTGCAACGTAGCATACGTCCTGTCCAACCCCATTTTAAATGCTCTATACTTTCCACTTTATCGATATAGGTTTTAACAAAATATTATTTGTACTTAATTCGTTTTACGATTATTTTATTCTTAAGTTTTGCTTAAATAATTTGACCGACTCATACATTACATTTTAAAAATTTTAAGAAATAATCTTCTTATTTCCGATGGGACCCGAGCCGGATTGAACCCACGTTCGCCAGGAGCAGTGATTAATCATTATAATTCCCAATACACTAGTGAGAGCTTTAATTCAATTAACACTAGCTTTGGCAAAGACGTTGTCCGTGTAATAATAGAAATGAATAATTCATCAACATTCACTAGAGAGAGACTTTGTACAAAAGTCGTTTGCTTGGGCACCTCTGTCCCATTCGTGTTTCTACCGTGAATCGGTTGTATTTGCATGGCTGTGTTTCGGTTTGAAGGGTGGGTTATGACAGTGAATTTACAGAGTACAGAGGAATAACACCCGAGTTCTCAGGAATGGTAACGCATAAGGGGTATCATGGGCGAAACAGTACTCTGTTATGTCCATGGTACTGCTCATGTCTATAGGCGATGGTTACCACTTTTCATCAGGTGGGCCGTCAGTTTGTTTGCCATTCTAAGTTGTATAAAAAAATTAACAGAATTTTGACTATCTACTTTCTGCATCGTCATCATATCAGCCATTAGCCGTCCACTGCTGAACATAAGCCTCCCTGTGAAGGGTTTTACCAATAGTTGCCACGTTTGACAGGCGGATTAGCAACCGCAGTTAAACTTTAGAAATGTTTAAACAAAGACGCTGCTGCCCATCCCTCGCCCGCCGTTAGTCGCCTCTTATGCATGCACGGGAAAAAAAGGAGTGGCCTTCTATGCCGGGACCACACGCCTAAATTTCTGCGTAATTTCAAATATTAGAAATGCCAGAGACGTCTGGTTATACTTTTATATTTTTTTTTTTGATGTTTTCTTTACTTGCAATTTCAATTACGGCAAATAATCCAAAGATAATCTACATGTAGATAATAGAATCATGTTCGCTCCAATTTTTTTAAAGAAAAATCTTCCTCTGCTTTATAGGTCAGTAAACAGATATTTTACAATAGATAAATATTATATTAGAACATATTAGAATTTATTACCTTCTACTGCCTTAATGACTCCACCAACCATCATGAAATTTGGCATATAGGTAGACCTACTTATTCTACTTCACAAAGTGATTTGACATTGGGAATGTAAAATAAGAAGAAAATTTTTACATAAAAATATTAATTTTATTGTATACAATTTTTTTAAATCTTAACAATATACCTAAATATAGATACTTATAAATGATAAGCGAGAACAAACACACTCGTACCCACAGCTAGCATTCAAACCAGTGTCGGGCGAACTGTGCAATGTTAACACGACTCAGTACCCAGTAGAAATTAATAAGTGAATACTCGCCCAAACTATTACAATAAAATTATATTTACATTTCATAACACCAGTTACAAAAATTATTACGATAATATATTCTTTACTGTACTTGTAAAAAGTAATGATACAGCGATTAGTTTAACAACTTGTTAGCAAGGGTGGGCTTATCTCTGAAAGAGATCTCTCTACCAGCCTACCTTGTGCAGTTAGAGAAAATAATTAGCGGGTAATCTAGTGCAGGAAAATTAAAAAAAAAAGAACTCAGCGGAAATACAAGTAAATATTAAGATATTTTCTAATTTACTTTTAAATTGAAATTTACTTTAAAACACTTGAATGTCAAAAATATGTTTATAAAATATGTGACTTTTTTACCAATAAAAGGGCTGGTATTATTTTAAGCTGAGTATTTTACTAACTTCTACTGAGTTTTTACTCAGTCTAAGGTAAAACCGTAGGTACTTACCCACCACTTATTGAAAATCATCACAACGTATACCTACTTAGTAGGAATCTGTAACATTACATCTATATCTACTTTTATACGCATTCTAGTAACCCTTTCAGACCCAAGACATTTTTTCTTTCAGATTAAATATATTTTCGTGTTTTGGAGCCAAGCCATCTTGCCGGCACGCACGAGACTACTGCACCACCTAACCGCTAAAACGATTTCTTATTGGCTGGTTTAGAATCTCACTATCATGTTATTTCAGCTTCGTGCGTAAAAATGAATTGCGCGCGGTACTAGAATTTTGTAAAGTTACAACTCACGCCCGTATCGTTCAGGTCTGAAAGGGATAAAAAAAATGACAATTAGGTATTATTAAAAATAACACTATACACGTGCAAAGCATTGTCTTACAACAAATATGAAACAATATCTGATCAATTTTTTAGTTTTCGCGAGAAAAAAAAATATTTTTATACAATTTAAACCCTCATTTACTAGTATAGTATAATAATTATCTGTGCCCAAGTACAGGATGACATCGAAATTACTACCATCTCTTTAAATGGTTATTTTTCAGCCAGTTAAACATATTTTCCCCAAATAAACAAAGTGGAAAAACTCGAAAAGAACACTTCTACTCTCTTGCTAATTTAACAGCTGAATGGGCCGCGTTAAGGGAAGGCTCAAATTTTGTTTTTCTTTTTTTTTTTTTTTTTTTTTTTTTGGGGAAAATCGTTAGCACTATAAAATAATGAAATAATGCTAATAATAACGATATCACCTTGTTATATATTGTATAGTGAGGAGTCATTAGCATATATCGTCATAGTCGTAGAATACTGACGGATCTGACAAAGATTACAAATAAAGATCCGTCAGTATTCTACGACTATGACGATATTACCACATTCGGATAAATCGTTTTACGATCACCAACATCGAGTTACACAATACAGTATTGCTCCATCTCTTTTATGTAATCGAGAAAGAAAAACCTAAGCAACAAAATTAATTTACAGGCAACTAAAAGTTTAAAAGAATGCATGAAACCTTATCGGCACGACTGGCGTGTTACAAATTTGCATTCAACCGTAATTATGTTAAATTTAAGTAAACAATTGTCGATATACTTTTAAACGGTTAAAAAAGTACGGTAAAAATATTATGTTTCTAATAAAACTACGTATTTGTAGTACGTAGTTGTTCTTCCATGAAGCCAAAGTCAAGAGTACTTTATTTTTTCAATCGTCAGTCACAAATTCCTCCACAATTGTAAATATATGTGTTTTCTTTGAATATGTCGTCGGAGCATGCTTTATGCATAATGTTACATATGCTCAGGTGAAATATTACTTTTGTTAGGAGCTGCTAGAGTTAGCTTGTGCTATCCAATGAGGTGAAACAAATTAGATCAATATTTTACCTCTTACCTATTCCATTGGCCCTGTGAATATTTTTTATAAAAAAAAGGTATTTCTATCTACTCATTTATCATCACGCTAGGCCCCTCACAGGGTAGGCAGATATACTACCAACAAATTATACTATTTATAATTTGTTTCAGGGTACAAGATAATATTGCAGGCAACTGTACCACTTCTCATTCTGGACTGTTCACATAACTCAAGAAATTGGGCGTACAAAAATAAAAACAACTATATTTACATGAGACATTTATTCTTCCTCAACTTGCGACTGTCGCTTTTTCTTCTTCTTCTTCTTTTCGCTCTTCGGCGTCTCGTGCTGCGCGGACGCGTCTTCTTCGGCGACAGTCTGGTCCGCGTCGGCGATAGACTGGTCCACCTCTGCAGACTCATCACCAGCTTGTGATTTCTTCTTCTTCTTTTTCTTCTTTTTTTCGGAGGTCGGCTCCACTCCGTCCACGTCATTTGCATTCTCCACTTCTAGTTCGGATGTTTTCTCCTTTTTGGGTGTGACCTGTTTCGAAATTGTTTTTTGTAGATCCAGTAGATTTTTTTTTATACAACTTAGAATGGCAAACAAGCTGACGGCCCACCTGATGGAAAGTGGTAACCGTCGCCTATAGACATGAGCAGTACCGTGGACATAACAGAGTATACTGTTTCGCCCATGATACCCCCCATGCGTTGCCATTCCTGAGGACTCAGGTGTTATTCCTCTGTACCCAGTAAATTCACGCCATATCCCACAGCCATGCAAACACAACTGCTTCACGGTTGAAACACGAATGGGACAGAGGTACCCAAGCAATCGACTTTTGTACAAAGTCTCCCTCTGGTATATTTTTATAATAAAGAGTAATACTATTTTTAATATGTGATAATAATAATTAATATAATAAAATAAAATAGAAATGTAGACAATTCTATATATGAATTTTTCACATTCCTTGCTGATATAAAATAGATAATAAAACCAACATAACTTTCCTGTAAGTATATGAAGTATTTTGTTAAAATTGTATTAGAAAAAACTTCACACCATAGCTATGAATGATGTAAATTAAACCAGTATTTGAAGAGAAAAAATCTACTTTCGGAAATATAACATAGTAACACATACTTGAAAACTTATAATGCGTGTTGGTAACATTAGACATTGCAATGGTATTACATATAATAGTATAACACTAGTTTTCTAGGATGGTATGTAATGCATAGAATCGATATTATAGTTTAATCTGTAACATCCATGGTACTTTCATGGTTTTAAGTGTATAAGCGACAATTACCACTTTCCATCAAGTGGGCCATCAGCTTGTTTGCCATTCTAAGTATCATAGGAACATTTGTAATTACATTATTAACGCCTCCCTCCAACTTGATCTTTTTAGTGGCAACTCCGTCTTCATCGGGCGAGTGCTCTCTCTTGATGGGCTTCTTATTGAGGGTGCTGTCTCCTGCCACCGGGTAGTGGAACACCTCACTGTACACACACATTCATGATCATTACACCACTATAATTAAATAATGAAAAATATACTTTTTATTTGTGACAAAAAATTAATAGACATAAATTTTTCCAAGTTAGTATGAGATCCTTAAAAATTTGCAATTCAACAATTGGTTCTCTATCAGTTATAAAATCATGCAACATACACACAAATGATACATTACACAAATAAAAACCTCATTCTCATTCAAGTTGGTTAAAAATTATTTTACTAATTTAATTGCTCACCTCTTACTGTGATATTTCTCGAACTTAGCTTTAGCCTTGCCCGTGCCACTGATTCTCCTCAAGTTGCCTTCCTCCAACAGCCTCAGCCTGTTCTCCAGCTTCACTTTATGTTCCGCTCCGAGCTCAAACGACACATCCTCACCAAAAGCATCCACCCTAGTAGCCAACGCCGCTTTAGCTGCTAACATACGGGACATCTTCCCTTTATTCTTTGTACTGCACTGTCCAACTAACTGAGCGTGATATATTAAACCATATTTAGGTGTATCCTTCTTTGTCTTTAATGCACGGAACAAGGCTTTCTCTGCACCAAATATCTGGACCGTTGATGCTGGATGCTTTGCTAAATTCATCAGGGATCCAGCATGAGCAATTAGTCTAGCACCAATGTGTTCACCAATTAAAACAGTCAGATTTGGCGCCATTGCCATCATCCTAGCCTTCAAATAGTCAGTCAAATGTGTCCTGTAGTCAGTTATGGAGATTATCTCATCACACAGATTCTGTATATTCATGATATCATCATCTGAGATCTCTGTTCCCATTGAGATCTCTGCGGCCTCTTTGACTTTCTCTTCCAAATCTTCTGGAAGGATGTCTGATAAATCCGTTTCACTTGCATGATCTCTAGTGCCAATCAGTTTCACGACTTTAACAAACAATGTGTTGTCAGTTATAATTTTTCCAAGCTCTGGGAAATGCCAGCCATACCATTCCCGGCATCTCATTATATAATTATTTAATTCTTTATCTAAGTCATCTAAAAGACATTGTGCTTGGACAATCATTGTGTCTATTTTGTCTGGGGAGAACTTTAATTTGTACCTGGAGAGGGAATGAGCAAGACCAAGGGCCATAGCAGTCATCTCCTTCTTTGGGAGACCAGCTAACAAATTGTCCATCTGTGACCTGATGCATCTCAACAACTCTTGTACATTACTATTAGACACACACTGTAAATCGAATTTTTCTCTAATGGCGCTACCGAGCTTGGCGTCCCCAACCAACAGCTGTTCCTGAACTTCTTTGCTGACATATTTCTTAAGAGCTTTTTTCAATGGCTTGGATATCTTGCCTTCAATGGCAGCTGTAGTGGCTGCTAATGCTTGTGTTGTATCTTCAAATTTGATGAAGTTCTTCAACTTTACACTGAAATTATTATTTTTTATTTAAGATGTACATAGAATTTAAAATTTTGATTTGTATAAATAATGTATAAATACATAATTTTTAAATAAAAAATAATATTAGTTAATTCAGCACAAAATAAAAACAATAATAAAAAAAATATAAAATCTTACACTGATGACGCTCCTTCAGGTGTGTTGAATTCTTGATACAGATCATCGATTTGTGATAACTTTGATTCATCCAGTAACTAAAAAAATATATATATATAAACAATCAAGTATCATAAAACTATATTTATAAAGACCTGAGAGTATGTATGTGCATCTTCATTAACTAGATTCTAAAATAGCATTAACACAGACATCTAATTACAATTCCAGATAAAGCTAATACTGAAATAAAAATAAGCATTTCCCTAACCACATGTATGACAAGGACTCATATATATATATATATATATATATATATATATATATATATATATATATATATATATATATATATATATATATATATATATATATATATATATAATATATATATAAATACATATACATATATATATATATACTAGCTTGACATGATATATCGAGCTTGGTGCAACAAATGCCGCCCTACCTACTACCTACCTTTATCTAGAGGTTAATGAAGTCGAATGTCTGGAAGTATATATATATATATATATATATATATATATATATATATATATATATATATATAGTAATAAATAATTAACTAATCTAAAATAAGACAAGTGTCTCATTTATTATATTTTAGACTCATAAACTTGTTATTTAAAACTAAAATTCTGATTTTTATATCCTATGCTATAGAAAAGATATAAAATAACTAAAATGAGTTTATTAGAGACCATCCATTAAATTTATCCATAAATTATTACAATTATATATATTATCTAAAGCAGACACAACATATGGTACAGTTAATTCATTATACAGTAGAAGCTCCATGATCCAAATACCTAAAATTTACATGCTATAAGGATCTATATAGAATTCCAATTACAATATGTAGGTATACTGAAAGGTACAAATGAAACAATGTTTTTTAGTATATAAAGTTACAAAAAAAAAAAATATTTCAAATATATATGACTTGTTACACTTTTTCAAAATAATCTCTCTAGCAAGTGACATAGTGTGACATAGAAAATGCTTTATCCATCAATTTACACAATAGCATTGTTTCTGGAATGGAAATATCTACTTTATCCGCACATTGCAAGCACTCATTTAATGTAGTAGTGCAGCTACTGAAGTGAATAAAACTATACTATGAATTCATTTATGCACCGAGTGATACCTAAAGTAAATAATACAGCACTGCACAGTGTAACCAGGGGGAAGAGGTTAACCGGGTGATCAAGACCTTATGGTATTTGTAAGATTCTATGTCCAATGTTCATAACAACAGTAACAAGTGAATTCAAACTATCAATCTACTGTCAATAGTAATATAAAAGATAAATTAGGATAAGAAATGCTATGTTAATCCAGAATATTAATGTAGCAAATTTTAGTTAATGAGGAAAGGCAATATTTGGGTTAACCTAAACAATTAGTCATTAGCAATATTAATTTTCTCAGTTATTAGGAATAATATACCATGAAGGGACTTTGTGAAGAATATTCCGCTATTTGTATGTAATCATTATAATTTCTAAATCAATCAGTTCTTAATTGCATTAGACAGATAACATTTTCAAATGTGGTTGGGGAAGAATACAATTTCTGTGCGTGTGTGTTTGCAACTGCCAATACGTTAATCTCAGAGAAATATAATACATTATACATGTAAGGATAGTCTTATGAACGAATAAATAATACATTTACTTGATTATTTATCATAGAATGCACGTAAAACATTCGGCGTTAGAGGTTATAATCAACACGTGTTGAATCTTACCTTAAAAATGGCGTAGCCTCCTGGAGTCTCAAATAAAACCAACATGTTTCAAATAATAGAAACACTTATCACACAATATCTTAATCAATATTAACTAATATTAAAATTGATTTAACAATAAACAGAAGACAAACTAGACACCACAAGAGGCGGGATTAGCGTTACTCTGACATTGTCGAATGATAGACTGACAGCCTGACAAAACAATTTGACATATTCAGTGTCAAGTTTCTGCCTCCAATAGTGTTGCCATTATAGAAAAAAAAGTTTTACATACATTATTTTTTATCTATGATAAATATCTACAGAGTTTTTATAATAAAATAGAAATACAAATTCGAAATGGACATTGTTAAATTTTAACTAAGTAATCGCGATAAATTCTATTTTATAGAAGAATTCTATCTTATATATATCTTTAGAACTGTAAATTATTTATTCTGATACATAGCTTCATTTTTATGAAAAAGTCAAGTAAAATTTGTGAAATATTAATTTATTTTTATACCACAGAGGTGGCAAACAAGCATACGGCCCGTCAGCTATACTACCATAATAAACAGCTACCGCAACCTATGATCGTCTGCAATATAATAATAATAAATGAAGACACCTTTTTATCCCTTTTTTCAAAAAACATGCTGTATTGATATATAATTATTTTGATTATTTCTTGCATCAGTTTTACATTATCTAGTCATTATGCAGTCTTGCATTATTTCTCGTATCAGCATTGGACAGTTAATGGCTGAATTAATTTGTTTTAATAAGTAAATATAAGAAAAAGGACAAATGATCAACAACTTCACTAGCAATTTATCGTTAAAAATATTAGAATTAGCGTTATTTAGTTAGACGCGGATTGCGAGTACTTTTCTCTGTATTACACGATTTGTATTCACTAGTTAAATGTAAATAAGACGAAATAAAAAGTAATTCTACTGGTAGTGAGTGCGCGCTCTAATTAGTGATGCTGCGGCCACACTGCCACCAATCTACATGCAAAATGCAACGCACGTTTGCTCGTGCGAAACTTGGAAACGAAAATTGTTGAATAAATCCTACCTACTAATGCAGTTGAGTGTCAGCAATTAACTTTTTACCGGCTTAAAAAAAGAGGAGGTTCTCAATTTGATTGCATTTTAGGGTTCCGTACGAAAAAGGTACAAAGAAACCCTTATAATGCCCGTCCCTAGATCCGTCCATCCATCTGCTACGGTGCTGTATCTCAGCAAGTACTATTGCTATCGAATTAAAATTTGTAATAGTTCTGTACATTATTGACCAACACTGAAAAAATATATTTTTTTGCTAGGGATTTCCAAAAGGGATATTTATAGTTGCCAAGCAGTTCAAGTGGAGTATCATATAAAAGGGTTTCATTAGTACATTTGAAAATTGATTTTTTATCTACTTTTATAGTTGCTGCGTAGTTTCTGAGATCTCTGAAGTTTGAGAAGCGAAAAAATCTGATATAATTACAATTGATAAAGTTATATGTAGATATTACAGAAAAAATAAAACGATGTTTCCAACTAGCATAGTTTTTGAGTATATCTCATTAAACCTCCAAAAACAAAGTTATACTGTACACTTTTAAGCAAAATTATGGCCCAAAATAAGAAAAATCTATGCACAGAACCGTCTACGTGTGAGTTCATCTAGACCACCTGACCGGTTTTTTTTAATTTCTTTTTTACTATTAACCGGAGAAACAAAAATAACTTAGTTTTTAGTATAAATGTTTGTGTTTGCATGTTTGCAACAACTTGTAGATTTTAATAAGATATTAGATTACTCTCTATTTAGGAGTAACATACTAAATATTAACAGGCTACATGACGACACTAAACCATAAATGTTATGGTCGTGATGTGGTACGGCCAAACAGATGAACCGATTTTAATGAGACTTTTACAAGACTGGTTTAAACAGGATGATTCTTAATTAAGTTTTGAGAAAATTAGACTTTCCTCAGCAGTCAGGGTCAAAGGTATCTAAGGTTAATTATTACTCATACAGCTAGATTATCTTGTTTGGATTTCAATGATTTGTATTTACGTAAACATAGATTCCATATTCAAGAAGTCCAGGGGCTGGCCAAAACACTATAATATATTTATAGTTTTATGGCCAGGCTCATACATATGTATGCATACATATTGAAATGTATGTACATTTCAATACCGATCACAAAAGTGATCTGAAAGGAAACATAAACCAGTTATGGGCGTATCTCACAACACAGGCCGAGTCAATATTTGCACAAATGGATTTTTACCAGCACCATTCCCTGAGCAGACGCTATTCGAGTCAGAAAATTCAATAATTCTGCATAAAGCCATGCACCCACTCGCGGGCTGAGTGAATGATTGAGCGAGTGAATGGAACCCATCAGGCGGGCCGCCGAGCGAACGAGCACCTGCGTCGATCGGACGCGTTACAACGTGATTATTTTTCGTACCGAACTTTCGCATTCGAATGGAGATTTGTTTACCTATTTCTATTGAAAATATTTGCTTTGCACTTTTATAGGCAGTACACTTTGCGCGTTGTAGGATTATCCTAACAGTTTTAATTTGTGATGGGTCACTAAATTAACAAAACGAAATATTACTCAAATGTATGACATGTATGTATGTTAATGACATCTGAGGGCCTACCATGAAATGTTTTCCGAAATTTTGGAGCCAAACGAAACACAAATTAGATGTTAAAATTACATAATAATACATGCCGTTTGGAAATATTAAAAATATTAAAATATTGTTCCCTTGGACTTTTATGATAGGATGTATGATGAACGAAATGTTGAACTCCATTTATTGGTCCGATTTTGGTATAAACAAAAACACGAAATTGAGTCCGAAATTTCGGAATTTGATGGTAGACTCGCTGAATACCTACGTAAAATTCAATAAAAACATTTGATCGTGAAAAATTATAGAATAAGTTCTACTTACGGAATGTCATGTCAATCATTAAAATGTCAGCTGTCATCCAACACATGCTATGACTTTGGCCTTGACGCACGAAAAACAATTACCTATTTTTTATTTATTAAATAGAAATAGATGCAAAACCAGTTATTTTGATCGAAATCAGTGTTTTTTTTTCTGGAACAAAATTTATATGAAACAAATATCTAAGTGAAACATGATTACTGCACATATTTAGATATGATAGGAAAAGGACTAGCCCTTTAGTTATAATTGGAATGCTTGAATATTATAAAAAATTAGACAACAAAAATACAGGATCAAAAATAATTCAAACAAATAACACTTGTTTTCTATATTCAGAAACAAAGAGTCCTCAAAGAGACTCAGTCCATTTTGGATTTTTTTTTCTTTCACGTGTACTTATTATTCGATTAACAAGTATCATTAAAATAAAAACAAACATACATTCAAATTGAGAATCCTCCATTTTGTCGGATCGTTAATAATACCACGTGTGCTACAACATCAAGCAGTTTACAGTTCTATTAGAAGGAGGTGGGCAAGCTAATGTGGGCAGACAGGGGTCGCCCCAGGGAGCTATTAGTGAACGGCATCGACAACTGATCCCGGTCTGAGTGGGTATCATTGGCTGCCTGATGGCCGTCTAGTAGGTACTTACCTGAGTGTGCACACACCTTTAGGGCTTGCGCACATGAGAGAGTTGACCGCCGATGACCGCGGATTTTCAAATTACTGTTAGTTTATGTATACATTACCCACGCAATTTTTAACTCGTAAAAGATTGACTGCTATATCGCATCCAACACAAACTTTGCATTTCATGTAACTATAATATTATATTAATTATAATTCTATACCTGTATAAATTTTTAATGTTTTACATTGTCAATGGCAGCCTGTAATAGTACCCGTGGTATACAACTCTTTTTAGCCAGTAATCTTCGTTTATAAAATTGGACAGTATTTTAAGAGGGCAACTGAGCTAGCAAGTTCCAATTATATTAAGAGATAAAAAAAAAAACGCCAAAAATATATAATTTTGCGAGATATACCTGGTTTTCAGAACAAAATTTCAATATCTACTTAATCTTATAATAGTGCATTACACTATTTTTATAATAAAATATTTATTATTATTTTAATAATTTACTAAACCAATGCGTTTTTTTATACAACTTAGAATGGCAATCAAGCTGACGGCCCACCTGATGGAAAGTGGTAACCGTCGCCTATAGTCATGAGCAGTACCATGGACATAACAGAGTATACTGTTTCGTCCATGATACCCCCTATGCGTTGCTATTTCTGAGGACTCAGATGTTATTCCTCTGTACCCTGTAAATCAACGCCATATGCCCACCCTTCAAACCGAAACAGAGGCATGCAAACACAACTGCTTCACGGTAGAAACACGAATGGGACAGAGGTACCCAAGCAATCGACTTTTGTACAGTCTCCCTCTGGTGACATATATTCAACAAAATTTGTAGTACATCGTATGGTTTAGGAAAACGGTCACTTTTATTTAACATGTGTATTTAGTACCTACCATTTAATATATGAGTAGTCTGGCCATAATCACATATCGGGACCTAGTCACAAACTGAGCAGTAGATATGTAGGCCCTAGAAAATTTATATTTATTGTATATATTTATTTATTCTTTATTGCACAATTAAACTTTGTGCAATATTATTACTTTTCAACCGATTTCAAAATCGCAGGAAGTTGTCAAGTCCGTTGTATTTTTTTTCTTTTTTTATATTTGAAACCTATGAGGTTTCAAATATAAAAAAAGAAAAAAATCTCAAAGAAAAAAACTCCGTCAGTTGTAAACCGATAGGGAAAAATCTTTTTTATCTTATTTATAATGATTTACAGGTTGACTCTATAGAAATTTTATGAAAATCGGTACAGTAGTTTAGTTTTTAAATAAAAATAACTGGTTTTTTTTTTACAATTGAAATTGATTTTTCTGTGGGGCACAAACTCAGTTATTATCGTTAATCCTCCTCCATCCTTATTAATTACAAAATATTACTAATATTGTTGTTTAAACAATTATTTTTCATACGATATAGCTGCATATACTGTGCTAATATTATAAATGTAAAATTAAGTTTGTCTGGTAGATAGATAGATATTTGTTGACGCCTTAACGACTCAACCGAGTGTCATGGTATATTAATATGCACGTCATATTTAAGTATTGTTAAACATTTTAACTGCAATGCCG